TTCTTCTGAATCCAGGTAACAATGATTTAGTGACAGGTCTTCTCATGCTATTTTCTACAACCTTGAATAAAAAGAGTTCTCATTCAACTCACATCCTTTGCTTTTATACTTTCATACTTACTAATGTAGACATCAAGGAAAAAAAATGGGCCATTTAAGGTCTTTCATATGACAACGATATAGCATTGTCATTAATGTCATTGATAGCAATGCCGTGCCATTGATAGTGATAAATAACTGGCAAGCAATAGGGTATATTGGAGCATATGAGGAAGCCATTTGGAGTAAAACTAATTCAGCCTGACCTTTTTTTTCCCAAAAGGGGTGTGGCCCTTGAATATGCATTGTATATCTGCTTTAAGCATTTACCATGTCCCAAAGACAAGAACAAATGCCCTTAAGATAAGGACGCAACTTCCCCCACATTGGCATTTCCTTAAGGATAAGCATTTCTCCCTAGGGTAGGACTTAATTGCTGCACTCATCCTGTGACCACTCAACTCGAGACAGCAGACCTGATACCCACTGTGTCCATCAATCACTGTGCTGACAGGGCAATCTCATGACTATTGTAAAAGGGACATTGCAATCATGTGATACATGCTCTTTGACAGTGTATAACCACTCTGTACACTCCCACTTCTTTGGCGTGCTCCATTCCTTTATGAAAGGGCTCTCCCGGGATACATGGTCCTGAAATTTGGCTCATAATAAACTCACCCCAATTTTGATTTATAGATTGGTTATGGATTATTTGCATCGACAATAGCATAGCACTGATAGGCATATTTGGTTTCAGGTTGCTATAAGATGATTGGTTTCTCAATTACATTAATATTTTCCTAGAATGTGGAAAGCATATAACCTTCTTCATATAGCCTTTGTAATTTAACAACTTACTCTTCTTTCTGAAATATTCAGTGTGTTTTATAGGGTCTTTAAGAAACTTTGAAAGTCAGTTACCAACCTAATTTTTTTCTTTCCTTCTTCCTTCCTTCCTTTCCCCCTTCCTTCCTTCCTTCCTTTCCTGAGGAAGATTCTCCCTGAGCTAACATCTGTGCCAGTCTTCCTTTATTTTTTAGTATGTGAGCTGCCAGGACAGCATGGCCACTAACAGAGTGGTGTAGTCCATGCCTGGTAACTGAACCTGGGCTGCTGAAGCAGAGCACACTGAACTTAAAAACATTACAGAGCAATGTAGGTCCATGCCTGGGCACCAAAGCAGAGTGTGCTGAACTTAACCACTAGGCTCCTGGGGCTAGCCCAACCTAATTTCTTTCTTTTCTTTTTTGGTGAGGAAGATTGGCCCTGAGCTAACATCTGTTGCCAATCTTCCTCTTTTTCCTTCGGGAATATTGTCCCTGAGCTAATGTCCATGCCAATCCTCCTCTATTTTGTATGTGGGTCGCTGCCACAGCATGGCTTGATGAGTGGTAAAGGTCCACACCCGGGATCCAAATCCGTGAAGCTCAGGCCACCAAAGTGGAGCACATGAATTCAACCACTACACCACTGGGCTGGCCCCCAACCTAATTTCTTAATAGAAAGTTATATAAAGTGAATAATTGTTAGATATTACAAGAGCCATTAAATCTATTTTATTTTATATGATTTATTATATTATTATATATATAGTATATAGTATAGTATAGCATTATAGTTTACTAGTACATATTATATTATTTTATATCTTACTATTCTGTTTTATATCATCTTTTAGCAATTTATTTATAAATGATGATAGCATAAGTAAAAACTGCTGGTATTGTTGACTTTATTCTATTTTAATATACTTCATGCAGACTGGGACTTGGAGGTTTTCCTGGAGTATGAGTTTAAAAGAAAACAGCTGTTAAAACCTATGTTCTTAAATTCTTGT